AAAAAATAAATAACATAAAAAAAAATTTCAGAAACTATCTGACAGCTTAAGAAGTATTGTGCACCACAACCTAAGATGTTGCACACTGAGAATAAAACATAAGCTGGTGAGATAAGCGTATACCATTTTTAGTTATTGGACGTGTAGGAAAATAAAGAGCAAAAATGTGGAACATGCTTCCCTGTCTTTTAGACTTCAAATCCACCATGCTGAATGGATTTTTATAGGGCATATACTTGTTCATGACCTCTAGTGTTAAGAAATTCTGTCATGTTTGAAAACTAGTCCCTCGTTGAGCCTATGTCCCTGTTAATAGCTGAAAGGTCAATGGAGCTGCTAAACAGTTTGTATTACTGTCAGGGTGGCCATGAAAACACCGCCTGCAGCAAGAGGACTTGGCAGCTGGGTCAACAGGCACTGGGGGGATTTATCAACCCAGGGAGGCCACTTGCATAAAACTTTGACTGATGAATTGGGACCAGACTGGCTTATTGGGCTAAACCCTCTCCATTATGCATGGCTTTCTTTAGGATGGCAGAGCTGCCTGCCGGCTCCCTGAGACATATGTGAAGGATAAACAGAACCGATTTCCTCTCACGAAGTGATTTTTGTGAGAAAAAAGAAAAAGCCCTCTTCAGCGTCCAGTATAAGGAGTAGGATGAAGATATTAAGAAAAAAATAAACAAAGAGCAGTAAGTGGGGCCATCGAGGGGAGGAGCGGGGAGGAGGCAGGAGGCACAGTTCCTGATATGGTCACACGGGAGTCAGCGACATGACATTTCTATAAAATGACCTCTGAAGCTGGGAATCTGCATTGTTAATTTATAGACCTCTTCGGGGAATGGGCTGTGTGACTTGGGTGGGGAACAGATAAGCAACAGTTAAAATACATAAGACTAGGTGCACGGTAATTCAATCAACATATTTAAGAATAATTTTGTTCTACAAGTTCCTGGAGAAATAATCCTGGAAACATTTCCAAATCAAAAAAGATCATTTAGTTTAAGTCCATCTGAAACAAAACGTCAAAGGATTTTTGTCAATCGTGTGAAAAAAAATTGTGTTCTCACAAAAATAAAGCTGGGAAAGTTCATAACTCTGTCAGGATTCTTTAATTTCCATCCTCCAGGAGCATCTGTTTGATTCTGAAAAGATTTATCAAAGAGCAAGCATCCAAGGGGGGAGGGTATAGCTCAGTGGTTAGAGTGCTTGCTTAGCATGCCTGAGGTCCTGGGTTCAATCCCCAGCACCTCCACTTAAATAAATAAATACTCCCCCCAATTAAATAAATAAATAAAATATTTAAAAAAGAGCAAGCATCCAAGACATGACTTGGGCATTTGAAAACTAGGTATTCAGAGCTATTTAAAATTCCAGGGACACCCTGGCCCCAGTTTTGGAACTAAGACCCCACCTCAAAAGTTAAGCAATCGCCTGAAAATAACTCTTGAATTCACAGGATGAACACCAATGATACTAAAGAGTTGAATATGCTTTAAATATATGATTTAATTATCTTCACAGCGCTCTGCAGAAATGAGGCGGGGGCAGAATGCTCACCTGCCCTTTATTGACAGGCAAAGGGGCCCCGTATGGTGACATACATTAATGCGATGTCCCACACTAAGGAAGATCCAGGGGCAAGACCATTTGATCCCCTGTCCTGCCAGGATAGACTTGCTCCTCGTCTTGACTAGCCTCAGATGCGCTATTAAGTGAAACTAAAATTACCGCCCAGCTCCTGTGCTCAGTGGACTGAAATCTGCTGGCTGAGGGAGCGTCCCAGACCAGGGCAGGCAGCACCCAGTACTCAAGACTTCACGGGACACGATGAGTTGGCCCAGCAAGCTGGGGGGTTGACGGGTACTGACTTCACCCCAACTCCACTCTGCCATCAGATGCAGCCGTTCCACCTCTGATGACATTTCTGAAGTGTGGTCACGGTTCTAACATGGAGGCAGAACCCATCCCTCCTCTGCTTGTTCCTTCAGTGACTCCTGAGTTCTAGCTGAGCCTTAGAGAAAGCTCGCTGTATTCTCACTGAATTGTCATCTCTTTCATTATAAAGAATGGTCTTTGTGTTTTTATAACAAGTTATCTTGCTATCCTTTTCCGAGAAGGCCCACTGTAAATGATTGTAAACTTATGTATGTGACTTGGGTGGGGAACAGATAAGCAACAGTTACATAAAACCTTAGACCAAACTGGCCTTACAGACTGAGGTGGTAATTCTGGAACCTTGTCCAGTCTTGAAAATGACTCAAGAATATTTGCATATGGTTTCTAAACTCTTTCTTTATCTTTCTTGTGTGTGTATGTGTGTGTGTGTGTGTGTGTGTGTAGGGAAAAAGAAAAATATAAATCCTATGTTTGATCATAAGAATGTAACTTCCATGACACATAATACAGGATATAAAAAATTTATAATTGGTAGTTATTCTCTTCCAGAGCCTTGAGTCAATTGATGTTTGAAGTTTATTCTGAAAACATTATTCTAACAAGTCTGGAACTCTTCCACAAGAATTCAGTTAATCTAAAATTTTAACTGGAGTTAGATTTTTGACGTAGCAAGAAATGTCCAGGTATTGGTTTTTCAGTTGATGCAGCTCTTTCTTCAAATTCTCCCTGAAACGTTTTAGAAAAACAGTTTTCCTCTGAAGCACACATCCTGAACACTGCTAGGCTTGTAATTAGCTCGTATTTCCAAAATAATCCCGTTGACATGCACGAAAGTGTCTGCTTATACAGAACTTCAGCTCATCGAGAGAGAGCCACTAGAATAACAAACGTCGGCGTCCAAATCGAAACAGCATGAGGCTCCCAACAAATGTTTATGAAAACACATGTTTTCTTACAGTCAGTTTAATTTTGAAATGTATGCCTATGCCTGTGTACAAGGACGGTGTCTTTGGGACCCTGTTACACCCCCCACCTTCTGAAAACCAAACACACATCTTAACCCCGGCCCCACACATGACACGACTCACCAGAAACAGGCACCATAATGAGAAGTTGGGCCTTTCAGGTATGTCACTCGGAGACCACCCTATGAGTGGAGGCCCCTAGATCACAAAGCCAAGGTCCCTCATGGCAACCCCGGTAATTAGACACTAATAATGGATTGAAGGTGTAAAATTCACCTCAACTCACCACCAACAGACTAAACAATCCAGATGAAGAGAGAAACATTTTTTTTGTGAAGGTCAGGGAGAATTAGTAACACTCCCAGAAAGCTTGCAAAAGCGTAGTAACTTTGACAAACATAATGGAATAACAATGACTATTTTGAAGAGAATGGCGTTAGATCTGAGTGAAGTCCCTAGACCTCATTATGAATCATTAGAATGCTGCTATTTTATGAATTAACATTAGCTTGATGTTTGTTCTTAATATTGCCAACTTCGACAATCATCTAAGTTTCTGATTTTTTTTTTCATTCATTACTTTAGTTCTCACGGGACACTGGTTTCAAACTCAAAGAGGGCAAAAACCCTTACAATGTATAGATGGGTACTTCCCTTGCTGTGAAAGAAGACGTGTACTGTTAAATAGAGGAGGACGCCTACACCTATCACTGTGTGACAGATGGGGCTATGTGATACTCTATCACAGAGAGACCATTTAGTGTTGATTATTCCTCTTTCTGTTCTGCAGTACCAATGTCAGCCTATATTTTTCATAGGAAAGATAGTGTTTTATGGGATGGAAAAAGGACAAGAATCTCCGTGTGTTAGTGATTTTTTTTCAGAAAAATATAACACAATTTATAACCTACAAGTGGAATTAAATGAAGGCTTTCAGTAAATTTTTCAGATTGTTGAAATTTATTCTCCTAAAAGGGGACTTTGAATTTGCAAACAGGTTCATGAAGCTAAGTTAGCCTGGAAAGAATCAGAAATTCCCAGCACGGCAGAGCTAGAGTCTGACCACCACTGGTGTTCACCGGTAGTTGTATCTGTGAGGATACTGAGATCCTGTGATAGCTGTTTCTAAACTTATGACTAATCTCTATTTGCCAGTATATACTTTTAGCAGCTTCTCATAGTTTCGATTTTATCCACAAAATTAACAGCTGACTAATAATGAGTCCAGATCATTCGAAAGGTGTGTGTGTGTTGAAGCTGGGTGGCTGGAGAAGAGCAGGGGAGGGAAAATTATATTCTTTACAGGATTAAAACAGTCCCATCTTCCTTTTGCTGAAATAAACAACAAAATACTTCCATAGTTTTCATTTGTTTGTCACGGAGGCTGTGAGCTTCCAGATAGCCGTGAAACGAGGCTCCAGTGCTAAACTGTTAACTTAGCCCAATGACCTAACAAAAATCACACAAGCAGCTGGAACGTCTGCCAGTATGTTCCTAGTTTTCCCGAAAGGAAAGGAGGGTTTAATCGCTTCCAACATGAGAGCGGAAGCCACTGCCTCATATATCAGGGTCCTCCTCTGACGTTTTCCTGAGGACCCTGAGGCCACAAAAATAACGCTGCTCCCTGTTGATAACGAGAATGACACGATCATGACCCCAGTCAGGCTTTAAAGTTCAGGATATTCAGGTCTGGCCTCAGAGGCTAGAACTGAGGATCCTTGCAGGACAGCACTCAGCAGATGGACACAGCAGAAATGTTTATCTGTTAATTGCTAATTGCAACTCTATCACTAATTTTTTTTTTTTTAGGTTTCTGTTGGTACTTGTAATTAGATTCAAGTACCACATCCTAATTCTATGTATGCGACAGTCAGATGAAAAGAAAAATGTGTTTTATCTCTTTATATTTTTAAACAGAAGTATTTATTTATTTATTGTGGAAGGAAGAGGTAATTAGGTAATTTATTTATTTTTTACAGAGGTACGGAGGATTGAACCCAGGACCTTGTGCATGTGAAGCACACACTACCACTGAGCTATCCCCTCCCCTCTATCACTAATTTGAATGCACTAAAATAACTTGGAGAAGAGTATTCTTTGATATAAAGGAACAGTAAAAAAAAAAAAGAAACTCACCTTTTGGGATCCACAATTTTGTAGAGTTTTCCATTGTGAGTCTGGGTCATACTTTTGCTACTAGATAGGACGTAAACTTCACCTATGAAGAGAGAAGTAGAGTGAGTTAATCTGCCATATTACAGGGCCTTACTTTCTATTGCCTAGTAGACATTTTATATATATATATAAAACATACGTGTAAATGTACGTGTATGTCTATATATGCTATATTCATACATCCTCAGGAAGATCACTTGCCTGAAGATGGTGGGAGTTTCACAAGTCCATCCTCACAGCGCATCCAGATGCTGGTCATTTCTCCCCACATCCTCCTACTACTCCAGAGCAAGCAGATATTAATCTCTCACCTGGATTACGGCCACAGCCTCCTGACGGAGCTCCCTGCTTCTGCTCTTACTCGCCTCTGTTTACTCTCAACATACCAGCCACAGAGATTCCTTAAAAGGCAAGTTAGCTCATAGAAACTGGATCACATTCCTGTTTCAATGCCCTCTGATGCCTTCTTACCTCTCTCTGAGCAAAGGTAAGTCCTGACCATAGGCCTTTACCTATGGTGTCCATCCTAACCGTTCTGACCCCATCTGCAATGTTTTGCCCCCCTCGGTCACCTCTTTCTGACCTCGCTGGCTTCTTGACTTTGAACCTAGAGGGAGGTTCCTGCCCCAGGCTCCTGTGTGTCAGTGGACTGCCACTAGCTGCATTTTTTTCCCTCTTTCAAGTCTGTGCTGAAATATCATTTTTCCTGACCATACTATTTAAAAGTGCATTTTCCCCAATTCCAAGCAACCTCTGCCTCTCTTTACAACTTGGTTTTCCTCCTAAGCACTTTAGTACGAACTAACATACAACATATTTTTTAAAAAAATATTTGTATTGTCCTCCTTTAGGATAGAAATTTCATGACCACTGTTTAAATTTTTTTTAGTCTTATTTGCTACCGCAGCCTCAACTCCTAGAACAGAGCTATGCACAGAACAGGTGCTCAATAAATATCGGTAGAATGAGTGTGCAATGGTGAGTTTTATTGTGATTTATTCTACCCAAGATTGAAAAGTTTTGTTGCCAAGTTGTCACTATTAATTGATCATTTGATACCAGAGGGCGTTGGGCACTCCTCTTTAATTGTTAAATTTTTGAACAAAATATATTAAAATAAATATCTGGAGAGAGAGACAGAGAGACCCTGGTACTCAGTCTCAACCCCACGCCTCTAGATCTTGGTGTTACGCTGTGTTCCCCATGATGAACCACCACAGACAGAGCACGCTCTCAGGAGAGAACCGCTCTTGTTTATTACCATTACTTCCACATAATTCACTGTATAGAACGGATCACATGAATAGGGAATTAGAAGCTGTATTTGTGATTATATGTTTACAAGGCTTTAAAACTTATATTTGGTTCTCATCCATGAAACAGTCCTTGAGTTAGTCTATATTTCTCTATTCCACTCTATTGCTGTGTATTAAGCAAACCCTACTGCTTTCTTACTTCTGGAAAGGATGTCATGGAATTTACATTAAAAATACAGATACAACCAAAAAAATAAAAATGAAGTTAAAAAGCGAAGGAATGTAAGCAAAAAATTCATATTTATTTCATCAAGTATTTTATGTAGTTCACTGCATTTAACCCTTATAGCAAACCCATCCTCATTTTATAATTAAAAATACACCCCCATATGCATAGAAAAAAAGATTCTCAATGCCTTTTATTTTAAAAAAATGCAAAATCTAACTCATTTTCTTATATGGCTCTTAATTAAAGCCAAAGAGTTTCACATTAAAGAGTAATTCAGTGGAGGTATATTTATTTTAAATTATGAAGTATACATGATGCTGTTGCTTTTGGATAGTAAGAATTGTGTATGCTTTATTTCTTGGTTCTCCTCCCAACATTGTATTAAGTGTGGGTTGACGTTTGGTTATTTTAACCAGTCAGGGTGATGCTAACAGGATGAATGATGGCAAAAATCTGTAGTAAGTTCTGGGGAAATCAAAATGTTTCAGTCAGAACATCTAAATACTCATCTCTAACTCTGCTACAATTTGATCTTAACATATATTTTAAAATCAGAGTTTGCTAATGACATTTAAATTACATTATAGAGGATTGACGTGAGAAAGGGCATCTTTCTGGTTCCTCTGAATAGCGTAGGAGAATTTCAAGGGAAAATTAATTGCAAGGTGCTTTCAGTTCTAGAACAAGGAAGAGACAGGTTGGACTTCTCTGAATCATTATATTCCTGTGGCTGTTAAATCTGTGTTTTGTGTTTCAGGAACCTTGTCTGAGACCCTTGGTAACCTAAGTGAATGTCATAGGGCATTTCCAACAAATTCTCTGTTTGATATCGGAAGCCAAATCTGCAGGTTTAGAGAAAATATTCTGATTTAGGTGGGAAATACAGCTATACAGCTATTCTCCCTTAATATCTAGAAATTTATCTCCGAGGCTAAAGGAGCATGATAACCATAGTTTGTTTGGATATTGTTCTTTAAAAGAAGTCATTTCATAAGCCACATTTATCTCTGAAATTTAAAATTGGTAGCATTTCCACTCTTTGGTGGATAACATTCCAACATCAACTTCTTTTTGCTTGTTAAGCTGCAGAGATTTTGATAATATACCAACAAATAAATTGTATGTTATCCTGTAAGATCATCAATGAGAAGATAATTTCCATTCTCTTGGAAAGCAGACCTACACACTCAGATTATCTTGCACAAATTTCATGCCCTAATGGGCAGAAAAAAAAATTAGAAAATAAAGGATAAAGTGAGATTCAAATTGTAACAAATTTTTAATTTATTCCAAGAGACACAGATAAGTGCAAAGGTTTTCAGGTGGAGAATATCAACATATGACCCAGCTGCATCAAAATATCCAGACATTTAAAATTTTCTCTCTCTTCAGGACTCAAAAATTCTCTTTTGTTCCTGCCTCTCATTTTCCCGCTTTGTTACTTTCATATTTCTGGAGTGGAGATAAGATTTTAAGACTCCCCAGAGAAAGTTCATTGGAAGAGAATACTGAACTAAACCATCTCGAATCTCCCCAGTAGGTCACTTTCGCTGTAGGTGACATTTCCAGCAAATGGAGGATGAGAGTGTTATATTTATTCCTCAGAGCAGAACAAAGCCTCTTGGGCAAGGTTTGAAAATGGAACTTAACAGAAAGAGTTTGTACAGTACCTAATTCGTCTTCTCCAAATCCCAGGATGTGACCTGAAAAGTAACCTCGACAGGAACCACCGTTGCCAAGACAGAGTGGTTTTTCTTGCCACTGCTTGCTCACAGGACTTTGCTGGAGAGTTAAGAAATTCCTATAACAAAAACATACCATATACCTACGATGAAAACATGCTTTTGCCTGAAAAAACACAATGAAGTGTTTGAAATAAAACTCATCATAAATAACTGTTGTGTCACAGACCTGGCTTCCAAAGGGAAAATTAATACAGCCCAGAATGTGGGTGACTACTCTGAAATCCTCATGTGAGGAGAAAGTACTTAAAGACAGTATTTGTTTGGAGAGGGGTACTAAAAAGTATCTGAGCATGAAAAAAAAACCCCACCTTCATCCAGAGAATGATAGAATGATACTTCCCCTCCAGGACTAGACTCGGTGCTGGGAGAGAGGGACAGAGGGAAGACCATGGGGTCAGTACACTTTTCTAGCTCCTTTTAGTGACCAAGTATATTAGTTCTGCCATATGCCTGAATGCCAGTGATCTGGGAAACAAGATTCCTTTTTTGTTGCTGTTACAATTTTTTTTAAACAAAATGAATGTATGTATGTATGTATGTATGTATGTATGTATGTATGTATGTATGTATTTATTTTAATGGAGGTACTAGGGATTGGACCCAGGACCCCGTGGGTGCTAAGCATGCACTCTGCTATTCCCACCCCTTGAAACAAGATTCTTATTTTGGGGTTCATCACAGAGTTTCTTATTATCCACACTGTGACCTCCAAACTTCAGGCTAAAATTTAATCGTGTAGTATTCCTATCAGTGGAGACAAATTACAGTCTGGTGCCTAAAGTCCTGAAACTTTAGCAAAAACAAAACTTCTTAGCCTTCCAGATAATTTTTAAAATCTTTATACAACTCATGTAAAACAATAGTTTTCAAATTGCTTGTGATCGTTGTAAATTTATGTTAAAGATGAAGGGAAGAGTTTAATTAATATGAAATGTTCATCTCAAGATTTTTTTGCTCTCAAAAGTCATTTTATGGATTTGATCAAGTTTGCTTAAGAAGCATCTTTTACCAGTGCCTGACATACAGCGGGTACTCAATAAATATGTTTACAACGAAGGTCTGAATAAATGAATGAATGAAAAAGACCAAAAAAAAAAGTATCTTTTAGGAAGCTCTTTAATTATACTATCATACTTAGTGGAACTAAAAATAAATAATAACGTTTGTGTGTGTCCCAGACCTGACCTCCAAAGGGAGACAATCATTTGAATATCTTATGGCAGTTTGTCCAGGCATCAATGGATATGCCGTTCGTGGTATCAGGAAACGTACCCATTTCGGTCTCCAAACACGTAGCTGCCATACAGCCTTTCAGACTGGCAGCCTCGGTAAACAAATCCGCCCACCAAAGGACCATTACTGAACGGCTTGAATTCTAAAAGTGATGGCTCACTTTCTGGAAATAAATAAACATAACATTAGATCAAATGAAACACATTTTTCATAAATGAAAAGCAATGTTAGGCCACACAACAATTATTACAGTAATTTACTTTAACTCAGAAATGTGTTCCTTGCTCCATAAGATGGATCCTTGTTACAAATATTTAGTGAAAATAATTACTCCTTTTGCTTAAATATAACATTTAAAGGGCCTTCCATGTATAGTGGAATGAAATAGGACTGCACTGTCAATTCTTGTTATTATAACTGCCAAGACATACCAAATTTTCAATGAAATTAGAATCGGGATATTTTTGGAAATCATGGTTATTTACTTTAGAATTAAAATATACAAAAATAATACTTAATTTTACTAATATTTAATTTTTTGTAGAAATGCATCTGCATATACCTAGCAAACTGAGCCAGACCTCTTGTCAAGCTATATAAAACTGTTTAAATGTTCACACCACAATGAAAATAAAGGTATGGTAAATAAAAGATTTTCAAAGTGACATTTGTTCCATACTTTAAAACACTGTCACTTAGTCAAGTAATATCTTCACTTACAATGTTTTAAAAGTTTTGTTTATCAAGTCTTGTGGTTAACAGAATCTATTCCAGTAGAGCCATGTAACTCAGTCTTTCCATGCATGTCACTATGGACTTGAATACAAATATGCCAATTGCAATGGAAAAGATATAAAGCCAGCTGCAAATTAACCTGAAAATTACTTACTACATACTTGAATAAGTTGCTATCAACAGGAAGTATTTTAGGCAAAAGCTCTTGTGGACAGACAGTCATTTTAAAGTCCTTCCCCCTCCCCATGTGATTACGGTGAATATGATATTATAAAAAGTAGAAAAGATAAGTTTTAAACAACCAGTATACTGAGAGGCAGCATAATTGAATGAGTAAGATCATGAACTCTGGAGTCAGGCTGCCTGGGTTCAAATCCAGGTCCTGTCACTCTATGTTGTGGGACAGTTAACTTTTCTGTGTCTCAGTTTCCTCATCTGTACAATGTGGGCAATAACCGTGCCTATCACATAGGGTTTTCCTGTAAATGAAATGAGTGAAATTTATAAAGTGCTTACTACAGGGGCTGGCATGTAGTAAGCGCTGTGGATGTGGTTATTTGGTTTTGGGATTTTTTTCAGCTTTACTGAGGTATAATTAACAAATAAAATTGTAAGATATTTAAAGTGTACATCATGGCAATTTGATATACATATACATTGTAAAAGGATTCTGTGGCTATATTTTTAATACATAAATGTAGGGCTGGCAATATTGTAACCAGTTTCAGCTGCACCCCAATTAATGTGATTGTAGAATTTAGTTTAATCTACAAATATAGCCAAAATTCCATCAAGCTAGTGACTCATTAGATTTTTTTTCTAACCACATTATTCTTTGCTTTGGCTTTTATAAGATGCACACACACATACATGAATACCTGAAAAAAAAATAGAGTAAAATAACTGAATACCACATGAACCAACACAGCTGCTTCATTCCTGGTACTAAATAAATATCTGTATTGAATGAATAAATAGAAGAAGCAATCAATTTAATAATCTTAATCTACAATGTTCCCTGAATCATCATATTTGATTTACTGTGTCCTCCAAAAAGAGTAAATACAAAAACACTAAAAAATATTAACTTTATATATATTTAAATTTTTTCTTGTATATATATTTTTATTGAAGTATAGTCAGTTGACAATGTTGTGTCAATTTCTGGTGTACAGCACAATGCTTCAGTCACACATGAATGTATATATATTCATTTTCACATTCTTCTTCACCATAAGTTACTACAAGACATTGAACACGGTTCCCTGTGCTATACAGTATGAACTTGTAATTTATCTATTTTATACATATTAGTTAGTATGTGCAGATTTCTAACTCCCAATTTGTCCCTTCCCACGTTGTTTCCCTCCGGGAGCCATAAGTGTGTTTTCTGTCTGTGAGTTAACTTTATATTTTAATATGTATGGCTAAATACTCTAGTAATCATGTTATTAAAAATAAGGTCTAAACATTCCATCTTCATGACTTGGGTAAATAACGTGTTTTTACAAGTCTATTACTTTGTTTTCTCTAAAATAAACACCTTTAAAAATTACTTTCTTATTTGAAACGCATGATTTTCCTAATTGCTGAGACTAGCACGTTGGGTATTGAGAAATTTCTTACCTTTAACACTTCTTTTTTCCTCTGTGTATAAGATGTTAAGACAAGTTCTCCCTTATATGTTAAATAAATAGAAGGTATTCATCTTGATTTTCAGATGAGCAAAATATAAACTGCTAACTTCTGAAGGTCCATTAAATTTTTTGGACCCACAGAGCACCATTCAATCCATGGGAAAGGTAATTACCCCAATGGAACCCCTAGGGCTTGTAAGAGTCACTGGACCTTTAAGAGGGGAGCAGTTGACTACCGCACCACTGTAAGGCTAGTGTTTTGAGGCCTTCCCAAATGCCCATTTTGCAGAAATCCCTTTCTCTTCAATTAATACACTAAAATAAAACAAAGACGGAACTAAAGCCAAATCAACAAATTATGCTCTACTTACCATAATCTTTCCCCTTTATTATCTGTAGGATTCTGGCTATTGATCTGTTCTTCCCATTGGAGTCTGAGCAAAGTATTGTTAAATTGATGTTTATATCAGTGGGATGTCGATCTACAGCACATCTGCAAGAAAAGAGGGGACACCCGTGAATTCCTCCCAGGGTATCTTTCAAGCTCAGACTAGAGATTCCTGACACAGGAACCCCCTGTGGGCTTGGCAAGGCTCCTATGGGCTATTTAGTTTGGATCCTGTAGAAACCGCCGAAGGAAACATCCTGACGTGTTTGTTTACTCTGCTGCAGTTTAATGATCTCTGGAGTATATTTCTTAATTTCTCTTGGTATCTCTCTCCATGATGAATGTGCACACTGACTTAAAACATTTGCTAGTCTGTTGTTAAGGAATACCCCATGTATAATAGTCTGGCAAGTGTAAGAATCAGTGGCATCATTGACTCACATCTGCAACACACACTGTAGGACATGTGGTCCCCAACTTATGATGATTCAGCACTAGGATGGTGTGAAAGAAACACATGCTGTAGGAACTGTATGTCCAGTTTTGAACTTTGATTTTCCCCCGGGCTAGCGACATGCGTGCAGTACATTGCTCTCTCATGATGCTGGGCAGCTCCCGGTCAGCAGTATGATCACAAGGGTAAACAACCAATACACTGACAACCATTCTGTATCCCTACAGCTATCCTGTTTTCCACTTTCAGTACAGTATTCAATAAATGACATGAGATAGTCAACATCGAATACGCTCTGTGTTAGAAGATTTTGCACCTCTCTAGGCTAATGTAAGTGCTCTGAGCACATTTACGGTGGGCTAGGCTAAGGTATGATGCTCGGTAGGTGAGGTGCATTAAGTGTATTTTTGACTTAAGGTATCTTCAGCTTATTCTGATTTCATTGGGACAGAACTCCATTGTAAGTCAAGGAAGATCTGTGTTAGTTATAGCATTAGTTTTATATTTCTTACATAGAATCACTACATTCTGAAGCTCAGGCTGCTCTAACAAAGGAAAGCATGCACTCCAATTCAAGGAATAAAATTAAGCTGGTCCCCACAACCACTGAGGTCTTCATGTGAACTCTGACTTCATGTTTACCTGTAATCTGGGGCCAGAATATGTCTGTGGCTTAAGCCACTGAATGTAAATTCCATGAGGAAGGGAACCACTTCCAACTTCTTTCTCACTGTATTATATAATATTAGAGGGGCTCAATATTTGTTGATTCTTTAAATCAGTGAGGGAGTAGGCATGGGGAGTTTGGGTTGGGCAAAGAATGAGGTTGAATATTTTTGTGTTCTCACAAATTTGGAAAAGTCTTGCATTGTTGTTTAGGTTTCTTAAGCTTGGCGTTATAGACATTTTGGGCCAGGTACTTCTTTCTTTTGGGCAGAAGGGGGCGCTGTTCTGAGCACTGTAGGATGTTGAGCAGCATCTCTGGCCTCCACCCTCTAGATGTGAGTAGCGTGATCTCCTTCCAATTTAGGAAAACCCAGAATGCTTCTAAGACATTGCTAAGTGTCCTCTGGGGGAAAATCATCATTGAGAATCACTGTTTCAGGCCAACAGAATACATGAATGACAAAAACAAAATCATTGGGACTATTAAATAAATTTAAAAATTAAAATCAAAATCTGAGAGTAGGTTATGGGGCTTAAGAGACATGTAAGTCATATGCAGCAATTATTTAAGCAAGAGCAACAATGAGAGAAATCCTTTTGGTGCTGGATGCTCCCATTCATATTAGGGAAACTATAAGCCTGATCTGTGAAAGGTGGGTTATTTGTTCTGTGGCCACAGTCCCTTTACTGTCTCATTAATTCAAAAATTCACAGAATACAGTGTCTGGCAGGGATCAAGACACAGACCGGCTGTGACTTAAGGCGGAACTAAGTCCATCCAAGGTGAGAAATTCTTTCTGTATTTCCCTTCTTTTGAAGATGGAGAAAGTATGACCAAAAAGGTTTGACCTGTTTCTAACAAGAAAGAGCAAATCTGAGAGAAAAGGCCAGGTCTCCTAGAGGTGGAGCTGCTGGAGGCCATGAGGTCTAGCTCTGGCTGAATACCAAATCCACTAAGAACCACTTGGCCCTCTTAACCTTTAATTTCTTCTATAAAAAAGAGCCCAGGCAGCAAAACTTCTCTGTATGATACTATGATGGTGGATCCATGTCATTACACGTGTCCAAACCCATAGGCCGTCCGACACCAAGAAGGAACCCTACTATAAACTATGGTCTTTGGGGGGTAATGACGTGTCAGTGTAGGGTCCTCAATTGTAACAAATGTTTCACTCGGGGAGCCTAGGTATTGATAATGGGGAAGGCTATGCATGTGTGGGGACAAGGGGTACACAGTAAATCTCTGTACTTTCTGCTCAGTTTTGCTGTGAACTTCAAACTGATCTAAAAATTAAAGTCTTTGAAAAAAAGGAGGGGGGGTGACTGATGCCAGCTACCTTAGAATGCTGCTGAAAGATATCAGTAAATTGTCGTGTATGACACACTCGGTTAACTACTCTGCACCAAGGTGCTTAATACAAGCCAGCTTTGCTTTTAGCCAATAATGATTTTTGTTTCTTTTCTGCTTTATTAAATCCTCCTCTGCTTGAAATACTCTTGGAGGGAGGCAGGCTGTTCCGTCAGCTCTCCACCGCCCGAGGAGGTAAGACTCCACAGCTCAGGCATCTCACCACACGAAAGGGCTGTAAAGCACCTCACCCTGTGTTTTTACACTGAGGGCCCGGGACCCCCCGGGAAGGTGGCATGAAGGCTGCAGTGGGATTGTGGTGACTCAGGCTGCTCGACTTCAAAGTGCTGCTTTGTGGTGGTATCCGCGCGTTCTGAGCTATAGGAATGGAATGTGACAGTTTCCTCCACATCCTGAACCCACCTTAAGTATTCCCTGTCGCACAGATTTTAAGGTCTGCCGAGATGCCAAAAAGGAAATGAACTGTAGACTTGGACTTTGATGGAGGGGAGATGAAGGGCAGGAGGGATTATAAAAATAAAAAGTTTGAGAAATACTCACCTTGCACGTAGTGAACACGCAATAAACATTAAATAGCAATAATAACTTAACTAGTAAATGAATAAATGTGGCCAGTATGAATAACAGACCACAGATTGGATGAAATTTTCATCACAGAATTGCTGTACTATATACTTCCTAGCATTTTTCAAGTGTATACCAAATTTCTCACTCTACCTACTTCTTTTTGTTAACTTTTTAAAAATTGAAGTATAGTTGATTTACAATGTGGTGTTCATTTCTGGTGTACAAGGTAGTGATTCAGTTATACATATATGTTCTTTTTCAAATTCTTTTCCATTATAGGTTATTATAAAATATTGAATATAGTTCCCTGTGCTGTACAGTAGGTCACTGTCTATCGATTCTGTATATAGTGGTTTGTATCTGTTAATCCCAAACTCCCCACCCCACCCCTGCACATACTTCTCAGTGGTCCTTTCTTTGTGATTCATTGTGGTAAACAGTCAATTTGAATTCCTCTGGTATTCGTAATTTTTTTTCAAGAAAACAAGGTTAACATTTAGCTCAACTCCTTACAAATGACACTGAGAAATACATTAAGTGAAGCTATGATAATAAGAACTATAATTTATTCTACCAGGTATGTCAGACACTCTACTTGGTGCTTCACTTACAGATTTGTATTTAATCATTACAGCATCCTTGCCAGGTGGCTATTAATAGCCCCATTTCATGTATAAGAAAATTAACATTTAGAAGGATTGAAGGAGACAAATTCAAGGTTCATTATCTCTCAGAATTGTTTCGAATTGTCTTAATCATGACATTGGTCCAACAGTGTTTATCTAATAACAGCCCTCCAAAATGCTAAGGCGATTTTTGTCTCCATGAAATTGTCCTCTTCCCTGTCTGATCTGCCTTCTCAATCTGCTTCACACATTACTAGCAGACAGAGGGCAAAATACTGGGTGAGATAATGACCTGGTGTGTTTTAGAGACACAACCTTGGACACCACTCTCGGCTGCTGTGGGCTCAGAAACCCTCTCCCTCCTCCCACCCCACCCCTTTCCGAATCCCTGTTGGGAAGGAGAGAGGACAGGCTCGTCTCACCTGCCGGGGTCGTGGAGGCCGTGGGCAAACACTTCGGGGGGCTGGTTGGTGCTGTTGAAATGCGGGTTGCTCCTGGGGATGGAATAAGGCACGTGGCACACGTCTGCGTCCACGTCCAGCCGCAGCACAGAACCCGTGAAGTCACTGAGGAATCGGAGGACCACGTAAGTGCTTTCCGTTTCTGTTGTAGTGCTCTACGGATGAAAGAACTCCCCCTCCCCACCATTCGAGACAAAATTACTGAAGTTCCAAATTCCATATCGTGGGAAATGAAACCGAGGGAAGTTTGGTTTCAGACAAGGCTCAAGGGTGCCCAGAGGCTGCAGCATCAGTGGCGCCCTGTTTCTGCATCCGTCCTCTAAATTTTTTTGGCCAGTCCACGAGTTTAATGCCCCGCAAAAGCTCGGCTGGACGGTGCTGTCCGTCACACGCGGTGTTGAAGGCAGCGTGGCCGCGCGGGGCGGCCGAGCCGCAGCTGCTGACCAGACTAGGCAGCGGGAGCTCGTTATAGGACATCTCGGTACAGCGACTTTCAAAAATATTACATCAGCATGTTTACTGAATTCCCCTTCACCTTATAAATGCAGGCGCTGATAGTAAAAGTGAAATATTTAACCAAGGTGATACAACTCAAAGACAGTTCTCAGCTCACTGATTCTGACTCTTTTTCCTGGCACTTAAAACATTTTAACATCAAGGGGGACTTTTTTTTTTTACCTTAACCCATCCATTTCTTCCATATCATCCAGTGTGATCATCCCATCACCAAGGATGATGTACAAAAAGCCGTCGGGACCGAAGAGCAGCTGGCCTCCCAGGTGTTTTCTGTGAAGCTCTGCAACTTCAAGAAACACTCTGGCTGTTCTCAGGTCAGCTTGATGGGGGTTTTTCCTACATGGTGAGGAGGGAGCAAACCATGATTGTTAAAGACATAAGGTGGATCCGCAGAAAGTAAGTAGCACACAAACAGGGACGCAAACACCTGGCCCATAAATAAGCAAACATATACTTAAAATGCAGCAAATGAAAATGACTGAGAAATCACATTATTTTCTAGGTTGCTTCTGAAGTGGCATTAGGTGGCAAGAGAATCGCAGGGCAGGTGCCAAAGCTACCATTGTCCACAATTTTCCTGAAAGATCCATATGGGGTTTTAAGCAAGATGGAGATGGCGGTTTAATTATTGCCACCTTACGGTTAATTATTTGTAACATCGAACAAAAAATTAGGAAGGGCAGATGAGAAAATAAGGCTAAACGACTTTCAGTGATACCTGGATACTGTGTATTCCACGACTCTCAGTATATGGTCATGAGGCCCCATAGCCCACCGTTCTTGGTTGGTGGTATAAGACACGTAGAGCTTTCCATTTTTCTTGTAATTGGGATGGAATGCAAGGCTCAGCAGTCCTCTTTCATCTCCTCCCTGCAGTCAAATGAAAAACACAAAGAATTGTGAAGTTAATTATGTTCTTTATTGTGTTTCAACTGGAACCCCCAAAAGAGTCTCTTTCTTTCTTCTGGATAATCTTTGCCCAAACTCTTTTCTTTTCTTCCTTGCCTACTGCACAAAAAGGATTATAAAACATTTCACTTTGCGGAACTCTTTAAGGGTTGGAAGGAGACAATTGCGTCGCACGGTTATCTATGCGTACACCACTTTTGTCGAGTGATTTGTGTATGCAATCTGGGGAAGCTCGGAAGACAAGTTTAAGTGCTGTGAAGAATTCTTTGCTGGGTTACTAGGTTGCTTGTAGTTCACAGAAGACAAATAAAAAGGTTCATAATCAGCAGTCACTTCTAATCCAAGTCTCCAAAACCTAAAACACAGTGTGGGCTGCCAACTCCCACTGTCTTGGCAATATGTTTAGAAAACAGTTAAATTGCTTGTGTAATATGTAAACCTTTGTTTTACCCTGGAGGCAGCTACATCAGTTGTCACAACCATGGTGGTCTGCTTGTCATAGCAAGGTAATAAGCAGCCTTGGCCCTATCTACATAGAAATGAGGTATTTTTACATGTCTCCCTTCCCTGGATAGAGTTTTTCTTTACAGAAAGAGGGAGAAATGAGAAGTGAGCTAAAAGCCAGGGCTGGGGTGGGGGTGGGAGAAATACTCGAAAGGAAAGGGGACACTTGGAAATAAAAGAAAAATCCCAAACAAATTTCTTTTGTTATTATATGAATGTCAAGAATTGTATACATTAGGCATGCCAAATGCTGTAACAATTAAAACATCATCATGTTTCTTAAATAGAAAGGCATTTTATCTTTATTTTCTGCTAATTCAGCTTGAGGAAACTCAATATGGTCTCGGCATTTGTTTTATCCCACAAGTAGTCTAGGAATTTCTATAATGAAATCAAAGTATCTAAAATTATCTAGATCAGAGACTTCAAGTTCATATGCTGGTAAGCCAGGGAGCCCTTTCTCTGTAGCCTGACGAGCTATGCACAGTGGAGAAAAATGTGACAGAAACTGAATGTTACAATTGTCACTAGGACATCACCTTCCACACGCTATTCCACTAAACATCACAACATCTCCTATGGTGAACAGCTGTCAGTCACTCCTCGGAAGAGTTAGAGGACAAAATAAATCTCTAATACTGTAACTTTTTTACAAGGTCATGCTCGATCATGGACGCACTCTCCGGCCTTTGTCCCCTGGAAGAGCATGTGTTACTAGCAAAGCACAGAACTGTTTGTAGTTTGTGTGCTACATGGATTTGTGAATTTACAGTTTTAGGCATAAAATCGGGCTTTTAATAAACATTGTTTTAATTCCTGGATTAGAGAAAAACTCCTTCAAGTGCATGCCATCCAAAGCAGAAACATTCAGACTTTAAGAGAGTATAAATAATAAAGTGGATGCAAAGATCCCAGAACTACCAAATGATTCTTCATACTAATCTAAAAAGTCAGCCTCTTCATTTGCAGTATCACCATATGCTTAATTTTAATTTTAGGCAAAGGAACAATCTCACTGAAGGGTAAGGCTCTCTGACTGTGATTTATGAATAAGCCTCTGTTTTTTGGATTGTCTTGCTACGACGATTTTAACATTGGCTCGACGTTGCTGTTTTTCTTCTATCTTCATTAAACAAATATCTCTTGCCTTTCTGATGAGACGTAGAAAGCAGGGATGTGTAAGTAAGATTCGGTCGTAGAAAAGCCCCTGCACGTCTAAACCTCCTTGATGGATGTATAAGGAGGCCCTGGGGGGTTCGGGTAGGGATTTAGTTCGTGATTAATTCTCCTTCCGCACATATTTCCCCCTAAATCTGTGAATGCAGGATAAGTACAGCACGCCCACTTCACAAAAGTTTGTGTTCCCTTATAAGAAGCTTTTGTTGAAAGTAGGTCTTTTGTAACTTTTAATCAAATCATCTGAAAGACAGTTTGAGCTGGAAAGCAACATGGTTTAAAACTGTGCTGGCTGGTTTTTCGGGAATTAGGAATGTAGGATTCATGCACAAGAGAAAGATGGACGGGCAAAGGGATTTAAACAAATCCCCAAGTGATGGAAGTTCACCTTAGAGATGTCCTTATTGTGTGAATGTATCGGGGGGGGGGCAACACTGACTTCTAATAAAGTGCCAAATATAGAAAGAGAGTGAGACATTTGAATGACAAGAAAATAAATCAAGAAAGCCATTTAAAAAATGTCAATAATCCTGAATTTTTCAGGTTATAGGATTTACATTTGTTTAATCATTACATATGATTTCATGTTTTTAAAGTCAACTTCTAGGTGCAAAGTAGTGTTGTGGGGGGGTTTAGACACATGACTAATTACTTTTAAGTCATTTCAGAGAAATACTCTCATAACTGTATTGTGGACAAAATTTAATGTATTATATAAATATCCTAGAGTGTCTCTCGAAACTAGCTTTTAAAATTATCTAGGATAACACAACTCTTAAATGTTCAGAGACTGGGAAAGAGGCATGTATGACTGCTGTCAGGAGATTAAAATATTAGTAGGTTCACATAGCTTGAATTAGCCTTCAGAGTTACGCTGTCCATTCAAAGTATGTTACTGACAAATCACAAGCATGGAGAATACGTCGATTGGGTGTTTAAGCCTTAACTTTGGAGCAGGGTCAGAGGCCACACTGCCAGAAACACCACCAGACATCTGAGGCTTCCAGGTCCTCTATGGTTGCTTCAAGCATTGTCTTCATTGGCATCAGAGCCAGGGTGTTGGCCCCTGGAGGCAGGATGGAAGCCAGCAGCCCAGCTCTCCCAGGCTCAGCAAAAAACCCTTGTGTCGATGTTACTGACTTTCCCCTTCCTCCTTCCCCTCATTATGTGTAGCCTGATGGAATTAAAACCATGCAGCCTTCCAGAAATGTCAAATTATTGAACTGTTTCTGGTGAGCATCTGGGAAGAAGGAACCTCTAGTGATTAATTAGTTCAGCCAAGCTGGTTAAAAAGGGAGAAAAACACATTCATAGAATGGCAAAGGAAGCCCTGTGGTGCGGGGAGCCACGCCTTTCAAAACGACAGTGACTTCTAACAGCATAGTTTTGAAAACTGTTAACTCAGTGTCCAAAATATTTTATCCTTCCCCATGTGAAAAGCAGCAATGTGTCCAAACTATTCACATTATACTTTGTACTTCATTACTGATAAGAAACCCTTTGTGTATACCTTATGCTTCTAGGAGCACACATCACTACTGAACCAATTGGGCAACAAGTAATTTATAAGCGAGATGTCAGGGTTTCCTCTGTTTGGGTAATTTTTTTTTCCCCCAGCTCACTGATTGAACTCTCATCTGAGCATCTTCAGAGGCTACAATGAGCTTCTCCCTTTGTCCCTTCCCCTTGCTCAGTCCTCCCGGTACCACATCAACTTCTGGACAGACCCTCACCAAGCACCAATGACTCCTCAAAATCAGGTAGTCGAATGATTTGAAGATAATATCTCTATACACTTTGGAGCCTTGAGATTAACCCATGTTTCAGAATAAATCATAAAACCCTCCTTAGGGACTTTGAATAAGTAGTTCACTGCCATTCTAATTATCATTCAGCTCTCAGGAACAATTTCACACGGTCAGCAGAAAAGAGACAAAACCCCCAAACAAAGAGGATCAATGACTTTCGTGTAAGTCCTAGATCAGATCTAGTCCTATAGTTTTGAGGTAAACTCCTCCCCAGTGAGAACCGCAAAGTTCTAACCAACTGACTAAGGAAGACTCTTTGAAGGAAATTAAGCATCTGTTGAAAAAGACAGGTAGTCATAAAATGATTGTGACAGAAAGAATTCTTTTTCTTTTTTAAGAGAACTTGTGGGGCATGGTCTTTCATGATGGTATTTTAAAGAAAACATTAACTTCATACTTTCAATGTGGTTAAAGTTAATTTTTTCTGATTTCCAACTTCTTTAAAATTTGTTTTAACATTTTATATTTGACAATTGACTTGTGCATTTTAGGAAACAGGACTGGACAGCACTGAACTGGAAGCACTGTTTCTCATTTTTGCATAGTTTTCTTGGTGACCCTTTGGCAAGTGACTAGGTTCAAGTTCAGCAATGTACCCAACGGGCCTATGGCAATGAAACAGAAAGCCAGGGAGGGAATGTAAATTAAACAATACACTGCTGAGTTCAAGATATTCCTTGATACTGCCTTGCCAAAAATTTTTGTATTTAACATTTATTCGACAAATATTTATTGAATGCCTACTATGCATGAGGCCTTGTACTTGACACCAGGGATAAGATAATCAATAAAAATGAATTCCTGCCCTCCAGGAATTTATGCACGGAAGCAGATAACAAAGTGAGTTTTTAGTTGTTTCACCCCCCTCCCACTTTCTTATGATGCTGATTTGGGGTTTTGGGGAGGGGGAACTTAAACAGTGCTATGCTATTAGAAATACGCAGGGCCCAAAATACAAGTATTAAAGAGAATAAACACATGTTCTGGGTAACTTCCAACACAAAGGTTAATTAGTATATTATCACTGAGCTTTCTCTACTGTAAAACATGATGGGAAAAAGAAAAAAAGCTTGATTTTATAACAGATAAATTACATGAAAATTAGGCAGAGTTTCTGCCAACACAAGACCACCTTCTAACTTAACTGACATACACGCCCCAGGCACACAGGTGTGAAGGCCTCCAGCAGAACTGTTGTTCTCTTAATAATGAAAGAGCTTCTAAGGATTAACATAAGAACAGAAGGGGGGTATTTTTAATTCTCTATAAAGTCTATACTTTTATTATAAGGCAGGTCATGACATTTTCTTTGTTAATTGTGATCCAAATGTCTATGTTTTGCTAGCACGTGTCAGGAGAGGAACAAGAGGACTTGGAGACCAATGTGGACCACTCGTCATGCAAACCTGTGCTTCTGAGACCAGAACCTTTCGCTGTTCAGACACAAGAAATAAATTTGTTTGAGAATTGTTA